AGTTTTGTTGTCTTTTGTGGCTTTCACTTCTGAGCTTGTGAGCATGCTTTCTCTTATGCCAAAGTTTGATTCCACCTCCCACACTTCTACTTTTTTTTGATCATGACTTTGTTCAAACAGGACTTCCTTTATAATAAAATCTTTCTGTTTCCTGCAAAGTTAGATATTCCCTAGTTTGTGTTCCCAAAGCACCTGTACAGATTTTCATGTGGTGATTGTCTTTATTTACAGGTGAGTCTCCTAGCTAGACTTTGAGCTTGTTCAGGACTTGGGGCTGTTACTTTTTCAGCTTTTGTCTTCATTAGCACAATTTTTGGCATAGTTCATATAGTTGATCCTCAGCATGTTCATTGAAATGTGAAGGGAGACCAGTCAGGAGGCTGAAAAAAAACTAGCCCCGAGCTTACACTAAGATGATGATAGGAAGAATGGCAAAACAGATGTGAAAGCCACTGTGGAGAAAGGTTAGAAGAGGATGGATGTGCAGAACAAAGCAGGAGGTAGTAACCCAGAACACCAGATTTAAATGCTACTAATTTAGTTTATTAAATTGGACTCCTCAGGTAGAAATGTCCAGCAGCACTTTAAAATACTCTACTAGAAACCTGAGTTGAGACTGGAGATAGATTTTGAAATCAGTCTACATTTGTTTGTATCAGGAAAAGGACCACTCTGCCACGGGATGTGTTTCTCTTCCCCGGGAATAGGATTCCATGCCTGGGCCAGCATTTGCCAGCATTATAGACAGTAAATGGTTTCAGAGTAAGTTGCTCTCCAGAGGCCTTGCTGAAGGAAATCTTTGTAGGATTAAATATTGTCCTGTCTTGGACAGGATCTGAGTCCGTTTTTCACTCTTTCCTATTTATCTTTATATATATGTCTATATATATAGAGAGATGTATGTTTGTGTATATATATATTCACACACACACACACACTTTCAAGTTTCACTTATAAAGAGTCCTAGTTCTGTTTCCCTGACCAATCAGGAAGCTCCGGGCCTTGCCTTTTGCTCCTCCTCTTTCCTAATTGCTATTCATCCCACCTAGATCAGGGCAACTTTTTCCCAGTCTTCTCTGAAGTTGTTGGTTAACGATTATCTCAAGTTTGGGGATTTGCAAGTTCTTTTTCTGTAGTAATTCTGATTTACTGCATTTGGCTTTGAAATATACTGTATTTAAATGTTATACCTTAGGAATTCATAGGTAGTCCAGATTAAATAATGACATGTACTGGAGAAATCCAGCTTCCATGCTGCCTCTCAGGTAATTCTCCTCTCTTTACTGCTTCATTTTTTTTTTTTTTTCTTTTTTTAAAGATTGGCACCTGAGCCAACAACTCTTGCCAATCTTCTTTTCTTTTTTTCTGCTTTTTCTCCCCAAATTTCCCTAGTACATAGTTGCATATTTAGTTTTGGGTCCTTCTAGTTGTGGCATGTGGGATGCTGCCTCAGCATGGCCTGATGAGTGGTGCCATGTCCGCATCCAGGATCTGAACCGGCGAAACCCTGGGCCGCCCAAGTGGAGTGCGGGAGCTTAACCACTCGGCCATGGGGCTGGGCCCACTGCTTCATTTTGAGGCTAGTTCTTTGCTTTTGGTGGAGAGTGGGGCTGGGGGAGGGCACGGGCTGATAGAAAGCTAACCTGTATGTATACTTTCTGATTAGTTCTTGAGGAATCAAAGCAAAGGTGAAGTGTCTTGATTAAATGCTTTAGATCTGTGTTCAGAAAAGGCTTAAAGCCATTGCTTTGGGTACATACATGTTATATTCTCTCTTGATAAAATCTCAGTTTTTACTTTTTGTTATAACATCTGGTATGAGAGTCGAGAGAGAAGGTCGTCAGTTAACAAAAGTAGATGTAGGCCCTTGATGTGTTCACTTGAAAAAAGCTGACAAATTGTACACACCAAAGATTCTCATAAAGTTTATATGTAATGTAAAACGAAGTATGATTTTATTTTTGTTAGTTTTTAAAATTGCCATTTACCAACTTGACTTTAATTTATATGGCATAACCAGTGATTTCAGCATATTTCAATATAGTCTTGACAGATCCTCTTTGAAAGTGATCAAAATTGATTTCTAGGTTCCTTTGATTCCTGCTTATTCTCTTCCAGGAGGTACTGTGAATACCTTACTCTTTCGTATCATCCATCCATCTGTCCATCCGTTAGTGTCACCTCTCCCTCCAAATTGATCTTTCGTCTGACCACTGTCACCCCTTCTCTCACCACCACTGTAGTGTGAGCCACCATCCTCTCTCACGAGCCCATTACGCTGCCTCCACTCTCGTCCCCTCTTTTTGCCTATTCCCTGCAAGGTAACAACAGTCATAGAAGAAAATATATCTGCCAAATTATGTCGCTCTTAAACTGCTTCCAAACCCTCTCTTGGCTTCCCAACTCACATAGAATAAAATGAAGTCCTTCAGGCCTATAAGGCACTGTGTGGTCTGCCTGCCCCCCCCCCCCCCCCTTCCCCAACCCCGTGTCTCTACCAAGTTCATGCCTTGAGCCTCACCCCTAAGGATCTTCTTGCTTCTTGGGTATGGAAGGCTCTTCCTGCAGGGCTTTGCCTGGTTGGTTCCCTGCCTTCTCTGCTTGATTGTTGTCTTCCTAGTTTCACCCTTCCTGGCTATTCTAAAATACTTTCTGACTCCATTCCGTCAGGGATAAAGGACAGGCCCTTTAAAATTAAATAAAACTGGCTTTTATGAAAACTTACTGTGTTGTCTTTTTTTTCATTTCCTTTCTGACTTTGCTGTGGATCAGAGAATTCTTTGTTTCGTTGCAGTACCCACCCCTGGACTGAGGCTTGTGTTTAGAGAGCAGAGTATTGCACTCTTACTGATCTTTTCTGCTGAAGTCACATGGGGATGAGTAGTATTTTCACTGATGTGTCATTTCTGCGTTGAAACGCACGAAACAAAGGTGAAATTATGCATATTTGTGTGTTCTCTCTCTCTCTCTCTCTCTCTGTGGCACATATACACACACACACACAGTCAGTCTGGGAAGATCTGGTATTGATGGAAGAGGAACATGTCTGTTTCCCTTTGAGGCATTTCCTGTGTTTACTTTTGCTTTCAAAACAGTGAAACCTCTTTGTACAATATTAGCATGAAGTTTTTTATTCTATACAGTTAATTTCAATTTGGGGATCCTAGGAGTCTATAATTAGTCTTGAGGATGTATGTTGTACAAAAATTGTCCAAAAAAGAGTTTACTTTGTATCCGTTTGAGTCAATTTATTTGTGTAAAATTTGTTGAGATACTCTGGTACTCCCCTGAAATTTTATTGAATTCTGTAAGTTTCATGCCATTTTCCCATATATATCCTTTCTTAGAGTTAGAACTCAGTGGTAATGGTCCTTTAAAGAGAATTAAATGTATCCTTAACTTTTGCTTGCAAAACAAACTTCAAATCTCATATGCAATGTCTTAGTTTGAAGACTATAAAGTGCTTTTTTCCACTGTTACCTTTCTGAAATAAAATGCACTAAAAAACACTTCTTTTTCTTGTTAGGAACCACGTAGGGGGTTGGTGGATAGACATGTGGGATCTTAGTTCCTGAAATTACTTTCAGAATTCTAGAGTAGCTTTCATGAGATTCCCAGGGAGTCCACCACCCAGAGAAGATTAAATATATTCTAAAATATTATTAGAACCTTTAAAAATGCTTTTCTGTATTTCACACCTAAAGAGATTACTAGCCCAAAAACTTATAGCAAAGCAGTGGTTAAGGTGTCTTCAGACTATTGTTCATATTTAACTGAATAGCTTTTTCTCAGTCCTCGACAGGAAGAATAATTAAATAATTGAGTTTTTTTCAAATTTAACAGAAAATTTGATATAAATCAATTATTAAATAGTGTGGGTGCTTTCAACAGACTTGCGTGTAAAATTTGGCCTTTAAAGTCTGCAGTATATCAGTTACCATGTCTACTGATAAAGCATAGTAACTTATAATAGTGTTTCATTTTGAAATGCAAAGTAAAAGAAATTATTCTTTTCATACTTAAAATTGAAGAAAATACCTTTTTTCATAATGAGTCTACAAGACATGTCAAGTTTGATGTTTTTCCCCATAATTTTTGTGAAGAGATGTAGTCACCGTGTAGTCAGGTCTTTACAAGTCTCTCCTTTTATGACGTTAAAATTTACTTTGAACTACAAAGTACTATTAGAGGGAAGGCACATTGACCTTAAATAACCTCAATCAACTGATAGTTTTGGAAACTTTATCGAGACCACCTTAAGAAAAATAAATAAAAATTAGCACACATTTAGTAGTTGTTTTTCCTGGCGTGGGCTCAGAATTACTAGTGTTGGGTGTCGTAAATACTTAAAAAGCATAAGAGTAAATAAGCAGGTTACATAATGGAGATCATAAATTTACACCAGGATGATGAATGAAAGAATCCTACTGTTATATGAGTGGGTAGTTGTGGTTTGAGATAAGTTTCCAGTATGCTATTATACACTGACTCAAAAAATGCTATGTCTCAATAAATTTAGATTGTAAGTGAAGATGATAGGCTCTGGAAAACAGATAATTTAAAAAGTGGATGTAGTAATGACAGAGACACTAATGTTGAAGATGCATGTGAAGATTTTGAATAATTAATCCAAACTTAATTTTTAAAAAATCTTTGTATGGGAAAATTATATTTGGGGTTATTTTTCAAGAATAAGTGATATTTATTTCTTTTAAAGTAAGTGGAGTTATTGCATACATAAGGCTTTAAGTTTTTCCTCTTACTTGTAGGACCTGGAATTGTAAATATTTAATACTAGTATATTGTTGGTTTTTATTTTTACTAGTATATTGTTATAGTCAGATTTATGACTTTCTCACATGCCCATTAAATGCCTTTAGTTGATCTGTTTCTTCATCTTAACAATGTTCCCTTTTATTGTCTGTTTTCCTCATGGGAGTAAGATAAAGCTTGATGTTTTCCAGAGTATTACTCTTAATAAAAGTAATATTTTTGTTTAGGTGACAAACAGCATGTTTGGTGCTTCAAGAAAGAAGTTTGTAGAGGGAGTCGACAGTGACTACCATGACGAAAACATGTACTACAGCCAGTCGTCTGTGTTTCCACATCGGTCAGAGAAAGACGTAAGTAGATGTAAATGTAAATGCTCTAGATGTAAGTTACACTGTAGTTACTCAACAGGTGTGTCTGACTCCTTCTGGTCCTGAAAAGCAGGGTCTGAACTGCGGAGTGTGATCTCTGGGGGAGGGGACGATGTTTTAGGCACAGTGCTAGGCCCTGGGGATACAAAGATGCTGAGCTTACGTTCTAGTGGGATGTAAAATGTCTATAATTCTAAAGTTGGGATGTGGTGTACTGCAGTAGGAAGTACGCAGAGACATGGGGTGAACATAGTATTACTTCCGGATCATCGATTGTTTTTTTTAATTTGTGAAGTTTTATTTTTATATTAAAACAAATACACATATGGAGTAGAAACCAGATTTGCACAGATTTAAAGATATAATAGCAGGCTTCAGTGAAACGTTACCTTTGCTGGGTAATCTTCTGGCTGTAATCCTAAAACCTCGGAAAGGGCATCTCTCCTGTTGAGCTATAGGGATGCTCCAATAGAAAAGTTTCTGAAGAACTACATTCAAAACGTGGAAGATGATATAGAGGTGTGAAGTCAGTGCTTTAGAAGACTGGTAGTTCAGTGATCCCACTTGGAATGAAAGGATTTAGGGCGCAGCCAAGTCATAGATAACAGATTGATAAAATAATTTTTAAAAAGTTCAATTGTTATTTTCAAATTCTAGTAAGCTACTTTAAATTATACACTATAGAGAGTACTCAAACAAGTTGCATTCTTGTCCTTTGTACCTGCCGAACTTTCTTCTCCTTTCAAACCTTTATAAACTTGGTATTCTTAATTTCCTTGTGGTATATAACAGTCTACTCTAGTTATTAACCTAATGAGATTCTTACTGATGCTTAAAACACTTACAAAATGCTAAGATATGTAACAGATGCTCTCAATTTTCATTAAAGTGATCATTAGTAAAGCACTTCTGTCTCTCTTAGAATTTCACAAATTAATTTAACCTAGGTTTAAATTAGGATTTTGGTAGTGGTGTTTTTTTCCCTTCCCTGTTTTGGTGTTATTCTCCTTTATTTTTATTTGAAAAATTGTGTCATTTTTATAACGAAGTATCAGTTGCATTATTAGCACTCTTTTCAAATTATGTGTCTGGTGGCTTTTTAAGTAATTAGTGAGCAGTTTAATAGCTCATAGAATAATGTCATCTGATTCATTTTCTGTCATCTTACTGCCCTTCTAGCTATTTATGTGATGTAAATTACAAGTGAATTATGTTTTACATAAGTTTCTATGTTTAAGTGTTGATCTTGTTAAAGAATTTGGGATGTCTTTCTGGTAGCATCACTGCAGAAACTATAAAACTAGTCCGTGTGTGTGATACCTGATTGTATAGTGCAAGTTCAGTTTGGTGGGAAAATGATAGTGAAATGCTACTTATTCATGAGAAGCATTCATTCTGATTGGGAAGATATGATGCTTTCCACACTGAATCTGAAGTAAAGTATTCAGAGAATGAATGACAGAGATGTCTGTCTCCTAGAGAGCAGGGTACTGTGTGTCAGCGTGCTTTAGCAGGAATCATTCCATGTACTCACGTCCTCACATGTGCTGGCTACCAGTTCACTTTAGTCGTTTGTCACAGAGCTAAGAGGACGGTTTGCATCACAAAGCTGTTTTTTCTTAAGTTAATTAAGAAGGTAATAAGACATAGGGATTAAGAATTTGGGCTCTAAAGCAGTACAGATGTCTGTTTGGATCTTGGCTTTGCCCGTTAGCAAGAACTTCTCCAAGTCTCAGTTTTCTTTTCTTAACAATGGGAATAATAATAGAGTAGCTACTTAGAAATTTCTGCTGTTCCCGATACTTTTTTTTAAATCACAAAATAGCACAGAAAATATGCTTGGTGGAGAAGAAAAATTATTCATTATGTTTCATGTCAGGAATAATTTACTACTCAAATTTTGATTTTATACTTTAATTATTTTCATTTTTAAAATAATATTATTTAAATCTCTGGGACATATTAACATATTTTCCACTAGAAAGTTTGTACCAATTTTTCTTCTCATCAGCACTCTTCCTGCCCTTGAGAATACCAACTAGTAGCTCTAAGCCTTTGCCAATAGACAAAAGCAGCTTATTGTTTTAACATACGCTAAAACATTGCTAAATTTACACACACACACACACACACACACACACACACACGGTGCTGTGTCTTTTCCATGTGATTATTGGCCATTTTTATTTCTTCCTTTGTGGATTACCTATTTTTATGCCATTTTCGATTTCTCTATTGAGACAAGTCTTGTTTAAAAGTTTTTCATATATTAAGATGAATAATCTCTTGTCATTTGTTGCAAATATTTCCCAGTTTTTTCCTTCAGTTTAGTTTATGGGGGTTTTTTAATATAAAAATATTTATTATTTTTATTGAATTTGACTCATCAGTCTTTTTTTTTATGGTTTCTGGTATTGCGATCTTCTTAGAAAGACTTCTCCCAGCTGCTTTCTTCTAGCACTTTTGTGCTTCGTTCTTCACGTATAACTGTGTCCGTAGACATGTATTTTGCTTGTGAATTTTATACTCCAAATTCTCCGCCAAATACTCCCCACCCCCCCCAAGATTATCCAGTTTCCCCAACACCATTTATAATTGAAATCACAGGTCATAAAACTTCCATAGTGGACCAGATAGTAAATATTTTTGGCTTTGTGGCCCAAGAAACTAAATCAAGGATATTATCTAGGTATTTATGTAAGCATTTGAGAGGTAAGCAGACATTCTTGGTTCATGCCCCCTGCAAAGACAAGCAGTGTGCTGAGTTTGGCCTTCGGGCAGTAACTTGCCCACCCCTGAGTTTAGAGCATCATTTATGGCTAATTGAAATCCTCCCTTAATATATACTAATGTCTGATGTATTCTTGGGCCTGTTTCTAAACTGTTTTATTCTGTTTATCATATTGATTCTATGGCGGAACTACAGCGTAGTTGAACTGCCATAGCTTTATAGTCAATTTTCACATCTTAGTCAGGTAAGGTCTCTCACATCCTTCTTTAAAAATGTTTTTGACTATTGTACATGTATACCGGTATTTACCTTCTTTCAGAAGATTATGTCTCTCTTTTATTCCTGTTGTTCTTTATGTCTTTAGTAAGTAGGGTTTTATGATTGCCATTTTCATTACGTTTTTCTGATTGGTTTTTACTGATATATTGAATAGTTTGTGTGTATGTATTTATTTTATAACCAACTACCTTACAGGGCTTTTTTATTAGCTTTTTTATTATTTTTTATTAGCTTTTGTTGATTAGGAATGTGGGCTCTGGAAATCCTGCCATTTGAGTTTATATCACAGCCACGTGATTTACCAGCTCTTTACTGGTACATGACCCATGGGTGGTTATAAAGATTGGATGAATAAATGTATTCAAAATTTTTAGAAGACCAGATAGTAAATATTAAATAAATGTTGCTATTAATATGAGTAATAATATTATTATTCCATTTGATTCTCTTGGGTTTTTTTAGGTAGTTATGTTTATCATCTGCAAATAATGATTATTTTTGTCCTTTATAAAAGTTTTAAACATACGAAATAAATGACTGGGATAATTTTGTAGTTTTTCTCTCTGGGAACAGTGAGAAAATAATTTTAAATTGTAATTTATGATAAAGGAAAATGGGCCAGTAGAGTGAATCTTGAAACCAACTATCAAAAAATAAGCCCCCACTTCAGCCAGTTCCCTGATTTACCTTGTCCACAGAAGGTGGAATGTGAGTGTTTCTTGGTCGTATGCGTGGTTGCAGAAGTGTTGGGGAACTGCTCTCTGTGGGATTGTGTGCTGATTAAATTGTGAGTGATTCTTTAGGGCTACTTCTTATTTTCCAAGTCCTTTGATTTCAAGAGATGCCTGCACATTTTCATGTCTTTCTGTAGAATGCTAAATTGGTTATTCTGAGGTATAAAATTAGTTTTATAAATATTACGGATATGCTACTTAAGTTTTTGACAAGGTTAAATAAATCATAGCAGATATGGACTTGACTTACTTTTTCTTGTACTTATTTTCTTTTTGGAGACCTTATAGAAAAGGAAAAGCATTTGTATAAGACATGCAGTAGACTACTCTTTGGGAGTAATAGTAACCTAAGCAACTTTTAGTATGTTTGTATTTTAATTACTAACATGTTTTCTAGTCCTATGAGTCTTTGTGCACTCATTTGATGATTCTTAAGCATAATCATTTTAGAAGTACAAACTTGTAGGAACCTATTTTCCCTTGTTTTAATATATTCTGTAGAAACATGAAATGTGACACCTATTCCTTACTTTTAAAAAATTCTTAAAAGTGGTAAGAGTAGGCTACTTCCCTGTTTTGACAACCAACCACCATTTTGAACTCATACCTAGCTTTTGTACTTGTGTTAGCCTACAGGAATTATGCAACTAGAATTGTCCTCAGGGCAATTAATTGTACTTTGCTAAGACCTAATATAAATCAGAGTACCTTCTATCATCACCGTTATTGCTGTCATCCTCATGATCAGTATTTAACTGACTCCAGCTCATTGAAGTCATTTCTGTCCCAGTATCATGCCGCTTTCTTTTTTCAGTTCTTGACTGGTTATCTCTCTCACTGCATCCAGGTATCTTCTAAAATATCTTAACCTGAGAAGCTTTTTCTTTGATCACTCTTCTCCTGAGTAGCCTTGTATGCACCCATCAGTACTACTCCCAGTATCTTTCTGAATTCTTTCTTGCATTTTAACAGTTGTAGCACCTGTCTCTACCTGAAAGTATGTATTTACTCTTGTTATCCTGTCTACTCCACTAGAATTTAAGTTTAACAAGGGCTAAGACTTTGCCTGTTTAGTTCACTGCTGTGTTCTTAGAGTCTATAACAATGTATAGGAGATAGTGGGCTCTCAGTGAGTCTTTGTTAAAGAAAGAGAGGGAATGGAGTTGATGTTTAAAAATAACAAAATTCACATTATTTGCAGATGATATTTTTCTTAAAAACTCAAAAATCACCTTTAA